TAGCACATTACATGAACTGCATAGTGTATATTACATGAACTGCATGCTATATTGGATTGTTAATAGCACATTACATGAACTGCATAGTGTATATTACATGAACTGCATGCTATATTGGATTGTTAATAGCACATTACATGAACTGCATAGTGTATATTACATGAACTGCATGCTATATTGGATTGTTAATAAGCACATTAAATGAACTGCATAGTATATATTACATGGACTGCATGCTATATTGGATTGTTAATTAAAAACACATTACATGAACTGCATCATACTGTACATTACATAAACTGCATGCTATATTGGATTGTCAATAAGCACATTACATGAACTGCATAGCGTACATTACATGAACTATTTAAATATATATTTGGCTTAGTGAAAGTTATTTGTACATGAACTGCATATAAGCTCACAGTAACTTCAACATATATTCGTTTTATAGTAAATTACATGAACTGCATCCTATTTATATTCGATTGTAATAGTACATATTTAGTCATCCTTTGTTAACATAACAATATTCGAGTTCATATTGTACTATTTCTTACGTATTATAAAGCTTAATAACTTTAGCTTTTCCTTAGCTAAGTTAAGCTTACAAAGAACGTCAGCTTGCGAAGGACAAAGCATGTAAATATTTTCGGTTTTGCGGGAAAATGGTTTTAAAATGTTTGTTTACCTTTTTGAAAAACTTTGACTTTGAACTGCTGTCTCTCGTTTCCGACACGTTGTGGATCGGCTTGGTGACCGAAGAATCGTCGTTACGTAAGAATTACGTCATTACATCAACTGCGTGCTACGTAGGCTCTCCCTATTCGAAGCGCAAAATTTCTCCGTCGTTTGAAAAGGAGTGGTTGGAATTACCGCAAGTAAGTAAACACCTTTATTTCATTCATTTTCTCCATTACTCAATCATAGATTCACTGGGTAAGTGTATTCGAAGCGTTCTTTGATCGTTTGGAAGTTGTTAAACAATGTAATAGACCCTTTTAGCGATCTCTTTTACGCTGTGTTAGTCTCAAAACAACAGCCCGTGCAAATGCAAGAGATCCGTGAGTGTTAGACAATGGAAATAGTTTGAAATCTCACGAGTTTTATTTAAACTTCTGAATATTTTGCACACAATTGAGGCTAACACAGCGTAAAAGAGATCGCGAAACTCAACTATTGCACCATCAAAGCGGAATAAATTGAACTGATTTTTGAGGTTTTAAGCTTAATAACTTAAGTCTGTATAAAGCATAAGCTTCTATTCTGTTTAATATCGAAGCAGACTCTGATCAGTAAATAACAAGTTGTATAGTTGAGACTTTCTTTTGAGATTTCGAGTTGACGTGCCAGAATGTCTTTATTTGTAAAATGTGCTTACTTGCATATTCCTATGTTTAATTTAGGTTTAGGGTATCTTCGTTCCAGACAAGAAAAGACAAAGAAGTTAGTCAAGCATGCAAAATACGACAGTGGCATATTAAAACACAGCATTAACAGTAGAACAAAAAAATACCTTAACTTTTAATTAAGTTGCAATAAATTATATAGTAATTATTACACTGATTTTTTTTTTGCATCATGCATGTTGTTATTATTTCAATTATTGTTTATTATGGATAATATTCACTTTTTCCTCTTCCTGCTTAAAAAAATATAGAGTTTATTGGATTTCAGGTTAACCTTGAACAGTTTATTCAGAGAAATGAATCGAAAGATAACAGATTTCTTCAAAAATGATTCAGGCTATCAATCGAATGAAGTGTCTCCATGTTGGTCAGTAATGTACATTTGCTTTGCTTCAGCATTTAAGAATTTGAAGCTTTCTAGGACACTAAAAATGTAACCTATCTTCAGTATTTGTATAATAGTGCAATTTACATGTATATTTATTTCCAGTGATTCCTCTATTCTAAAGAAGAGTAGTACGCCTCAGCTTAGCAATAATACCAGTACTAAAAAAAGGTGAAGTCCAACAATGTTTTCATTCTGTTTCATAATTACTGAACCAAATTTATTATTTTTATCAACAAAAAAATAATTTTAATTGAATATATATTAAATAATAAATATATTTGCCATTTTCATTGTTTCTTCTAATATGTCTAAACAATACTAGAGTGCAAACACTAAAAGTGTGCAATACTTTGGTATTTATGTGGTATTTATGTTGCACGGTTTTAGTGTTTATACTTGTACTCTATTTAGTAGTAGTTAGTACTTTTTGTTTCTCAGGTGATACTAATATTCAATATTTATAGATTATACAGTGACAGGGAGAATTCTGATGTTGAGCTTGAAGACTGCAGTCTCATAGAAAAATGGTAATAAGTGTCAGTATTAGTGATAATTATAAATCAAGTCTGACTTCCTTCTCTCTTTGTTTAGTCCTGATGTACATGTACATGACGAAGGTGAAATTGAAGAACATGAGTCCATTGAAAGCGAGGCTGATGATGATAGTGAACAAAGCGATGAAAGTGATAGTGATGATGATAGCTATGAACATCAGTTTGTTAGCAAAAATCAGTAAGAGTTTAAAATTTAAGTAGTCCCCAATAATGTAATACTGTATACACAAAATGACAAATGGAGGAAAGTGATTGAGACCACTCTCATGAAGAATTGGTAATGAATGCTAGTACTTTTAATAGTGATGACTATCTTTATAACAAATCAAGTCTGATTTCCTTCTCTCTTTCTTATAGCCATAATAAACATCATGATGATGAAGACGATAGTGAACATGATACTGAAAGCGAGGCTGCTGATGAGAGGGAATTCATTGGACAAAGCGATGATGATGATGGTCAGTTTGTTAGCAAAAATTGGTAAGTGTTTAAAATTAAGTTGTAACTATGTTCAATAATGTAGACAAATGACAATAGATTATTTAGTGATTGAGGCCATGGTTAGTGGTAATGAATGCTAGTACTATAGTGATGGCTATCTTTAACAAATCACGTCTGACAACCTTCTCTCTTTGTTAGCCATGATAAAAGTGAACATTGCGATGAACGTGCAGATGAATATTGTGATATTAGTGAATTTAGTTGTAACACTAACAAGGAAAATGAGCTTGCTGACAACAACAGGTAAGCATACTAAGTGATTGAACACAAATTGGAAAAGCATGTACAACATTTTCACCTTCCTCATGACTGAAATATACAATAGGACAAAAATTACCATAAAAGCAGAGTATTTTTATCACCTTCTATGAAAAAAAAGGAAAGTATCACTGCCACAGGACATTAAGTTCTTTTCATGTTTCCGAATCTTGGAGGTAAACTAAGTAATTAATCCACGTGACTAACTACATGTACAATATCCAGGGTCCGTGCAGGTCCTTAAATCCTTGAAAAGTGCTTGAATTGAAAACTCATTTTCAAGGGCACTTGAAACTCCTTGAAAATTTCGAAAAAGTCCTTGAGAACTCCTTGAAAAAGATGGATCTCTATCACGAAGCGCTAGCGATCTCTGAATTATTCCGTTCAGCGGAAGTTTTGAGGTAAGAATGTACWATTAGCATGATTTTGATGCTCCTTAAAAATACAATTTTGGTCCTGGAAAAAGTCCTTGAAAAGTCCTTAAATTTCGTTTTTGATACTCTGCACAGACCCTGAATATCCTACGCGGGACATTGCAACATGTTACCATTACAATTTGACATTAATAAAATATTAAAGTTCTAGCCCAAAGAAAACGCAAATTAATGATCAAATAACAATTGATGGTTCTGTTGTCCATAATTATGAGAAAGTGCTAGAACTAATGTTGTTCATAAGGGAGGGATGCTTAGAGTCGTCATACATGTATATCCCAAGGTGATCAAAGTAATACTGATTAATTATACAGTTGTACTTTATTCTGACATTTGGCTGCTTTATTAAATCATAGACTACAGCAGAAAAAACTGCAAATTAAGGTACATGGTCTTGGCACTAATGCAAGAATGTTCCAAACGAATGGCCAAGAAACTATTTTACATATGGTAAAGAAATACTTGAAGATGTACAACCTGATGAAATCAACATCTGTTTTGATCTTTAAAGACAAACATACAGGATCTGCTCTAAATCTTGGTTTGCCGACTGGCACACTTGATAAAAATGTAGAATACCAGTGTATTTTCAAAGAAAAGCTCGAGTATAATACTGAGCAATTAATAAGGGCGTTCAAAGTAGAACTGTATAATGATGAATGGCCACTAAAATCTTTTCAGTTGAAGTTTGATAGTGATAGGAATTCGAAACCCAACGTATGTAGAATGTCGAAAGTTACAGACTTAATAGATGTCCCATTTATGGTAGGAGAGACTTTATATGAGGCACTTTGTAGAGATGGCAGGTTTGATGTTGAAGATAATAATGGCCAACTAAATATCTGTAAGTGTGAATTAGAAGATGTAGGGAGTGCGGTTAGGGTGCCACTTGACAACGATGCCAGTGACTATGGTGGGAAGACTTTTGAGTTGTATTTCTCAAAGGCATTTACCAATGGAAAGGTAGAACCTTTGCCATACCCTCCTTGTATGCACGAAATTATTCCAAATGTCACATCTCAACTAGACCCAAGTTCCAATGTTCAATCAGCTGTAACTCCAGCAGCAGAACCAAGTTCTGAACAAGGTGCACCTGTGCATGATTTTTCAGAACAAGAAATTCAAAGTTTGTCTATTGACGGAAGTCAGTCTGCAAAGAAACTAATTGCACATACTGTTCATGAATTTAAGACATTCATTGAAAATGATTTCAAAATTAAGGTTGAAAAAGAGGGGCTATCAAAAAATGAGAAAAAACGGCTAGGCAAAGTTAAAAAATTTGTGAAAGCAGGTTATGATAAATTTGCTCTGAATCGAAATTTTGAATTGAGTTGTTCACATTTAAGAAAACTGTTGCAATTATGTGAATCAACTGGGGCTATTGTACTACAATTGTACAGTGGTGAGAGGCAGTTTATAGGTACCTGCTTTAGAGTGGGTCATAAATATGTTATAACTAACTATCACGTTTACAAAATTATTGAAGATAAAAAAGATCAAGGAATGCTGAAGTCAGTTTATATTGATTTTTCCTATAAAGGAAATAATGAGATTTCTGCCTGTTCTTCCACTGATTACAAAATCATAACCTATTCTGTTGAACTCGATTATGCAATAATTGAGGTAAAGAAACCAAAACATAGGGAACTACCTATAAGTGTCACATCATCTTTTACAATTCCATGTTTAGTTAAGAGTCCTGAACAGGGTATGTTCCTTACTTTTAGTGGACACCCTAACGGGTCAAGGGAGACAATGACAAACTTGTTTTGTCCATTAAAAAGTCTTGAATCCCTTGATGAAAGAGTTGTGATGGGTTTGTCCAAAAATGAGCATGAAGCACTGATTGACCCAAAAAGACAGTTTTATGATATCTCCACTTTCTTCTATGGCAGTTCTGGCTCACCAGGAGTATTACTGCAGGATGGGTTCTTGTTGGTGTTACATTGTGGACAATATCCCTTGAATGATGGGCTAGGAGGTGCTATAGAGCAAGGCGTCTTGATGGCTGCCATTGTAGCCGATGTAAAGAGTAGACATGTCGACTTGGTAGAAGACATTTTTGATCTGCCTAAGGACATGGAAGTAGATAGTGAAGATTAAGCTTTTAGGTAACTGAACTTCTAGTGTAAATTTGTTTTCTTTCTAGAAATTTCTGTCATTTAAGCTAAGTTCACGAGGAGCTGATGGGGTCTGTTCTTCTAAATAACTGTTCTTGTATTAATTTTTTCCTGGGAAAGTGATTTTGAGCTACATTGTTGGCAATCTCACAAGCAAACGTGGTGTCCTTCTTTAAGAACATTTTGTTCCTGGCAAACGTTAAGGTTAATAAAAAAGGCTTATATAACGCTTTTATGTCAAAAATGACTTATATGTTGTTTTAGGTAGGAAATTTTTATTTTCCTGGCAAAAATTCTTAGCTGGCAATCAGTTGTGACGTACAGCTGGCTTGGACATAACAGATATATTTCTCCCAGGAACCCATCGGCTCCTTATATAAGTTTCCCACAATAGAATGAATGAAGCTACAGTAATTAGGTGGGCAGTGGCTAGACTTTGCTTGGAGCCGGTCTAGAATGGAGAAGTAAGGTGTCTCCTTCCCCTCACTAGCCTGGGTGTGTGCCTTGGGCAAGTACTAGTACACCCTAAGCCTCCCTTGCCAGGGTTACGAGTTATCTAATATCAAATAGCACAGATTATGAGGATTCTTAGAGATATCTTAATTATTATATTTTCAAAAAATAATTCTATATTGTAGAATTTAGTTTATTAAGATATATAATAATAATATAATTGTAAATCATTTTAAATATTTTAGTTATAATTGAATGATTGATAGTTTTAAAACCAAAAAAATGTAAATAGCACTTTTTATCTTATTTTGATAATAGTAAATTAAAACAATTTATCCCATTAGACTGAAAGTCAGCAAACAAAAGTATTATTAAAGTTGTTTAAAAAACTGAATGGTATTTTTATTATTTTCTCAAGTAGTAGTAGATATTATGTACTTATTGACTGAGTGGGAGGGCCGTACGGGAAAATATTTGGCTCGAGGTTATGCCGTACGGACCGAGCGCAGCGAGGTCCGTACAAGTGACCGAGAGCCAAATATTTTCCCGTACGGCCCGACCTAACTCAGTCAATAAGCATTTTATCATATGACAGCGTTTTTTAATGTAAAAAAATAAATAAAAGCGCGCGGAACTTCAAGCCGGGAAAATACGGGTTTGTACGGACCTGTCGCAAAAAGGCGTACGGACCCCATCACGTGACCATTTTCCAAAGGTTTCAGTGAGAGCGCGCGTAGGGCCGAAATACGGGTCATATGATAAATAGCCTTCTGTAGCTTCTTGGTGCATACAAAGTGTGTGAATGATTCTTGTTTCAAGTACATGGGGAGGGGAGGAGTGGTACTCGATCCCAATTTGGGTGTGAGTATGCCGCACGACTTTACATACATTGTACCCTAGCACTGAAAGTGTGGCAAAACTCCGGTATTATCGTCGTGTACGGGAAACCGCAGGGGAGTTAATTGTAATGTGAATTTACCGTATGCAAATTATCCCGACCATAATTCGTGTTCACTTCGTTCTTATATATTAATTATTTAGTGAAATGTTAATGAGAAATTGTTTAAATACTAGAAAAAAAGGAGTGAAACCAAGCGAATTCACTCGTGGCGTAACCGGTTAGGTTTAGGGTTAATGATCGGGTAGGTCATATTTAGGGTTCGCAGGTTCGAATCTTATCTGCGTGATCAATTTTTTTTCTAAGTGAGGAGAACCAAAAACTCCCACTCGTGTGTTCGGAAACATATGACGTACTTGGTTACACGGTACACGACGATACTACCAAAACTCCACCCTACAATGAAGCTATATCCCATCCTAGACAAAAAACTACCCAGACAATTGGGTAAAAAATGATACCTATCCCAGACTTGGAGCTCCAAAACAGGGACCCAATTCACCCCCCTCTATCAGCCCCTGCATACCCGTGATGCGCGCCGATCGCGGAGAGCGCTTTTATCTCCATCTCGCCTGTATAGCTTTAAAAAACCCGAGCTGTGATATCTGAAAAGTCGCATTGATGGAGTTCTTTTGCCATGTCGTACATGTCTAGATTAAAGGGTGAGTCCTGGGGAGGGGGTATCGTAACTATATTAGTTATCCATCTGGAAGAAATCTCATTTTCTGCAGCCCCTAATTATCTATCCATTCAATGTCTTTTTTTAATATTTATAAAGCTAACTCACCTTTTTCTGGATCTGCTACTGAGATCCATCACTTCACCTGTAGACACTTAACGACGTATAAACAGAACTTTTTGAAAAACAAGTGGGATATCACCACTAACTAATTTGTGGGYTTCCTGTGTATCCACTTGCCATGCGCATTRCTACTCRAAATCCAAAATGGCGGACAAGATCAGTTCTTTGCAGTCTTTGTCRGACTATGGTCTTGGCGACAGCGATATTGAAGATTCAGAYAACGAAAACGAAGAAACTWCTACAAAACTTTCTAGGGTGAATTCTGCACCTTTTGTTTCTGCGGCTCCAAGGGTAGTTACAACAAGTAAGACAAACTTTTAAGTTTTCAACACCGGCATTCGACATCTACGTTCTGTCAACGATTCGAACATCGTCGACAAGCAARTTAGCTTAATGAATTTAACTTACAGTAGTAGGTTCGATTTATCGACAGTTTTTATTTATTTTATGATTTATCCATGCATAGAGAACCTAATTTATCATACCAAACATTATAAGAATTGACAACCTGGAATCAGTCTCTTTTTTTGTCATGTTTAATAACACTTATAAAGCTTATAAGCTTACATGTGTAGATGATAGCTATAGCTATTCATCGTTTTCAACCATTCCCATCACATTCAAAAGATGACCGCCAGCCATGTTGGAGGAATGAACAATAGATACTAATGAGAAATCCTTTGTTAAAGCTCCTGCAAGATGACCGCTGTGATGTATTCTAGTGAAAACGAAGAATTGATAGTCCCAAATTTATTTAAGAACGAGTGACACTATAGCCAGTCTGTGCAAGGTATAATATATTTTTTTGGTTAAATTTTTGGTTTATTTACCAGGCTCTAGATTGGTATCTTATGGTGATGAAGATGAAGAAGAACTAGCAGCGAGCCATGGGGGCACAGATGCCATAGTAAGTTTTTTTCCATAAAAACACAAAATAATAGGATGAGCAAACGATAATCAACTAACAATATAATATAATACCATCGCTCAATGCAGTATGGTCACAAATGAAAGTATCATGTTTGCACTTTCTTGTCGTCACCGTACTGTAGTAATGATGTGTTCTTGATCACATATTTTCATTTGATGTTGATACCAGATGAGGTTCCGTGTCCATGCCATGACTGTGCTGTGATCTATGCCTTTGGGCAGTCATTCCAAATTGACTCTTTAATGCAAAAACTTGCGTGGTTATATGCCAAACTTAATTTCTGCCATTAAAAAAATAAAAATACAATTCCATTCACTGTTGGGGGACCATAGAACTTTACAGCAGAAACYGTTGCATCGCGACTTCAATGTTCAAAGGAAATAGTTGGGATTTAGGTTTTTCTGCGACTTGGGGGCGGAGCTTGATACTAATCAGCCAATGATTGAACAAGTTTTCGAAAAGCTCTGCCCCTCAGATTGAAAGAAAGAACAAAATCCAGACAAACTTCAAAACAAAGAGGTCGCGATGCAACGATTTCCACTGTAAATGCTATTTTGTTTTATTTTATTTTATTTTATTTTTTTGCTTCATAATTTGTTCTCCTTTCAGGTTGTAGAAGATTTAGATCATTCACCTGAACAAGGTATGTTTTAGTGTGGAAAYGTCATTGGGCAAAGGCCTTATTATCCTGTGCAGATCTGTTTCCCACCTCTCCTCCCCTGTGGGGAAAATTTGGGGAGGAAACAAGTTCTCTCCTCGATTTTTTTCGAGGGGTGAGAAACAGATGTACACAGGCTAAGGCCATATAGGAATAGCAAATGGAAAACCTGACAGACACCAAGAATTAAGAACTATTTAATATCCAGACATCTCATAAGTTTWAGTTTTCTAAACAACTTTATAAGAATAATTGTAAATAAATAAACTTGTATTCTCTAGAAAGTGGAGTACCTAGTACAGAAGAGAAAAAACCAAAAGTAAGTCTATATTTTATTGCATTTAGTTCAGTCATAAAATGCTCTTATTTCACTTGAACTGTTGAAAATTTTGCTGACTAGATTACGTTACACTAAAGCCTCCTCCCCATTCAACTCTTTTTTTTCCTTTGGGCTTTCTTTGTAATAGTCTTCTTAGTTACTAAGGACTAGTGATGAGAAATTAAAAAATAAGAAGAGGTATCTCCCCTCTCCTGCCCTCATTCTCCCTCTTTTGTTAGTTAGTTAGTTAGTTCGGCAGATAACTCCGAGATTTAACAATGGCACTCCAAACGACCCTGTCTTCCATCAACGTAGCCAGCTTGTGTGAGCTGATTGCCCCTGTGTCGCGCTTGAGGGTGTCTACATAATTCGATTGAGGTCTTCTTCTTTTGACTCACCCAAAAAGACAGTATAAAAGTTGTCTTTTTTACACAACTGTTTGTGATTTATCACATGTGTTTTTCACTAGGAAAATGAAGAGAAAGATGCAAATGAAAACAGTGGTAAGAATGTGGTGTAAATTTGATTTCCCATACGGTAATAGCCGTGTTTCCAKTTGGGTTACAGACTGGTGGACTGTCTGAAAATTTATCACCCTATTGATTTTAAAGTCTCGTATTTCAAGGACTTTGTCTTCAAAGATGTATTCAAAGGTCTCATAAAATTTTAGAGTCTTTCTCAATTGACCATAAAGTGAGACTAACAGTTGGTTTCACACTCTGAATGTATTGTTTTCTTCTGTTCTTTACAAACAAATTTGGACTAAATAGACGGTTTTCATAGTATAGCCAAATATTGAAAGCTAATCTAAGACTAAAGAGTACATCAGGTATCACTATGGTAGCCACTTTGTGATGGAGTACCCCCTCTCTGTCTWTTCTTTACTAAAAATTGTTTTAAATTCAATAGACCTAATTGGTTAAGACGTTTTGAACTCAATTTCAACCACCTGGGAGTAAGTTTCATTGTCCGTTGTATTTTACATCACATTTTATATCAGTTGAATTTTTAGAAGCAAAAGTTCTTTTTCCCACAGGATTTGAATTGATTGGTAACATACATAGCAACACATTAGCCAATTGGGTCTATTTTTTATTTGTCATCTATCTTTGTTTTATTAAAAGAAGAGAATACTGGTCAATTCATTTCCAGGTCAATTTGCTACTAGTGAATTTGCTATGCAAAAAGTTATAATTTGTTAACTTTTTATTATTATAATTAACCTGTGTTTTGACCAGGCTCCTTTCTCAAACACTTTGTAGTGAGACCTGGGAAGGAGAMTCATAATGGCTGCAAGAGGTGGCTATGTTTTGACGGGAGAATCTACGTATCACTCAGTTGATGTAATATATTCATAAAGATATAAYACAAAACACATAATACAATAGAACGAGAAACAATGGAATACAATACATTTTATGAATACATTACATCAACTGCGTGCTACGTAGGTCACCCC